GATAATAGGTCGGCACAATATCGTGGGCCGAAGGGCCTGTACTGTTCAATGTTCTATGTTCTAAATCAAACAAGTCAACTTGGTTTTGTCAAAATGAAATCATGATAACTGAATTTGCGAGAGATCTTGAAGGATTCAACAGTCAGTGTTGATAAAGGGGAACCGGTGGATGTGTGCATTTAAATTGTCAGATAGCATTTGAAAAGATGCCACTCAAAAGATTATTGTATAAAAGAAGACCTCATTTTCTTGGGGGGGTGGTGCGGCAGTGACATGTTGTGACGATTGGTTAACACACAGAAGACAAAAAGATATGATTTATGTGTCCTCTTCAAGCTGGAGAGATATAATGAATGGAATGCAACCAGGTTCAGTCCTAGGGCCTCAATTATTTACAATCTATTTTAATAACTTGAAAGAAGGGTGCGGTTTAAGGTATCCAAATTTGCTAGTGGTATAAAAGAGAGTATGTTGTGATGAGGAACCTGCACGAGGGTACAGATAGCGAGTGGGCAACTTTCCAGATGGATTTTAACACAGAAAAGTGTGAGGTCATGCACTTTGGCAGGAAGAATCAAAAGGAAGGCTATTATTTAAATGGAGAGAAACTCCAAAACTGTGCAGGACAGAGGGATTTGGGTATGAAACACAAAATATTAGCATATAGATGTATCAACTAATTAAGAAGGTAAATGGAATTATGGTCTTTGTTGCAAGGTGTTGAAGATTAAACATTGGGAAGTCTTGCTACAATGGTAGAAGGTTTTATTGAGATTACACCTGAAGTACTCTGTACAGTTTTGGTTGTCGTGTTTAAATAAATTATGTACTGGCATTGGAGGCAGTTCAAGCACATCAATATCTCTTCTTCCTCAGGAAATGAATTTTCTGAAGAAGGGTCCATACCCGAAACGTCAGCTTTCCTGCTCCTCGGCCTGCTGTGTTCATCTAGTTCTACACCTTGTTATCTCAGATTCTCCAGCATGGGCAGTTCCCACTATCTCTGAATAAGTAAGAGTTTCTGCCCGTATTTTTTTAAAAAAAGGGAAAAGATAGCTAAAGTGAGCAGGATCCTTTTAAAGAGAGTTACTGGGGAATTAATAACCGGAAATAAGGAAATGACAGATGGATTGAAATGATAGAGGCATTGAAAAGATGTTTGTGTCTGTTTTCATTGCAAATTAAAAACATCCCAGAAATAATTGTACATTAAGAGGTGAAAGGGAGGGAGGAAGTTACCACAATTATAATCACTATGGAAAAGGTACTGAGAATATTTAAAGAGTTTAAGTCTAACAAGTTCTCCAGTCCTGCTAGAAATGGCAGAACAATTAAACAACTACTTTTATTCTGTCTCCACAAAAGAAGCAAAAAAAAAATAACTTCCCAGATGTACAACAGAAGGAAAAGTCTTTTGGGAAGCAGGAATTGAAGGATATTAATATTAGCAGAAAAGTAGTGCTGGAAACATTAATGACATTGTAAGTTGATAAAGCCCCAGGACTAATAACAACTGGTAGCGGTGTAGCACATTTAATGTAAAGAGCATACCTAGGTCAATCCTAAGGGTTTGTATGACGACATTTGACATCAAGCATTAATATTAAGGCAGATGAGCAAAAGCTGAGCAAAGATAGATTTTCAGGAGAAACACAAAATAGGGAAGAGGAGAGATTTAGGGAGGGAGCCTCAGCTCAGCTTTCAGAGAATATATAATAATACATTTTCAAGTTCTAGCAGCATCAGACCTGTGAATATTTTTTGTTAATGGTTGTACCAGATCCTTGGAAGATGTAGACTGCACCCTTATGGCTGTCTTCTAAAGGTGCCCCAATGACAACATCATTGTAGTTATCCAGGTTGAGATCTGAAACTGCAGTTATAGCTGTTCCAAAACGAGAACCACATGGTTGTTTCAAGAGTTGGGGGCATTTCCGATCATCAGTTGTAACCTATAAAAGCACCATTCATAGTATTGCAAATGTTGATTGTTTTAATATGCACAACAAATATTAAACCATTTTTATGAGAGATGTTTCTGGCATTTTCATTTTTGAATAAAAATCCAGAAAGTCAATTAGTATCACTGAATGGTGTAGAGCTGGATGAACACAGCAGGCCAAGCAGCATCAGAGGAG